AGAAATCATTTTCTGGAAGATCCGAATGACTGTCTTTTATAACGGTAAAGAACTGAATCTCTACATAATATAGTTTTGAGAATCTAAGCCCTAGTCATACAAAGATGACTTTATCAACTAGTATTTATGGTACTCTTTAACAAATTATTCCAGAACCTCGATATGTCTTTTTCTTATCAAAAAACTAAAACAATGAACTTTATGAAAAATATAACAGTCAGAAATAGAAGTTATGTTATCCTATTCTCCCACATTTCCACTTACAAATACATGCTATCACCAAATAAAAATATACTTTATCATTTTGCCACTGAGCATATGTTAAATTAAATTATATGTAATTCCTGCCCTTTAAGAGGCTTACGATTTAAAAGAGAACACAAATATATTTTTAAAGTAAAATAAACAAAATGCAAATTGGAAAGTCCATAGAAGAATAAACCAGGCAAAATCTAGAACTTACTTACTAAAACCTATTGAAAAAAATGTGTTGGCCCAGTAACAACCCTAGTAGTGCCCGTATGTGGTCCCAATTGTTTTTCAATACAAGGAAACAGGACTTCATGGAGGAATAGGTTCCTGATTCCAACAACAGTGCAGGGAAAGTTCAAGGAAAGCTTGAAACATGCTATGCCAGAAAGCAAGAATAACAACAAAGAACACGTGGGTCGTATTTCAGAAGGACAAAGCAGCCAATTTGAAGGGGCTTCCAATAATCAAAGATGTGAAAATTTGAGCATCAAAAGAATGACTGCAATGGGTTGATATTACATATATAAAAATCCATGAGCTCACGGTGATACTCTAAACAAAAAAACAACTCACTGGTCACATAAGGGCACAACTTATTACTCTAAAATATGGTTAATAAAAGGGAAGAAAAATCAAGTCTTTATCCCGTCCTTCCCACAGTAACATATATTTCAGGAAGAACAGACAGCTGTAAATAAAGTTCTATTTTATAGAATAATTTCAGTTCAGAAATTTGGAAAGAAGGAAAAAAAATTTGTAATCCCTATGGAAACAATGGATGTGGTCAATGTACTCTTGCCAACAAACAACATGAATCTCATCAAGTCTCTAGATCTAACTACCATTTCACAGGAAACATGGAGAACAGAAAAACATGTTAAAAGACACCACGAGGATATGATCAGCCAAATCCAAAATTTGGACTAGTCTATCACACTAAGAACTTCAACAGTTTCTTTAATTAAATGGCACCCTACATCTCCAAAAAAGAAAAAAAAAAGGGTGGGAGAACTCTTACAGGTTAAGAGAGACTTAAGAGATATGTCAACCAAACGTAATGTGCCTGCTGTGTATCTTGATTAGAACAAGTCAACTGTAAAAGGAAATTTTTGAGACTTTGAGAAAAATTAAACACCGCTAGATTTTAGATTGTATTCAGAAATCATTTTGTCAGGTGCTTAAGACTGTTGTGTTTATGTTACTTAAAAAAAAAAAAAAGTTCCTTAATGTAAATTATGAACTTTAGTTAATAACAATGTATTAATATTGGTTCACCAATTGTAACAAATGTACCACATTAATACAAGACATTAATGATAGGGAAGATTGAGGTGAAAGGAATATGAAAAATCTATTTTCCGCTCAATTTTTCTGTAAACCTTAAACAGTTCTAAAAAGTAAAGCTGAATAAAAACTGGAACATGGGCTTTCTCTCCAATGAGGTTCTTTAATCCATTCTTAAAACTGGTCAGCTGAGGAGTTTCCACAATTCATTATTTCTTCACCTTTTCAATAATACAGACCCCCTAAATTTTCCTAAAGTTTAATAAAAACTACTTCTAATATGTTCTCATACCATTCTTTTTTTTTTCCTGTGTGTGAGGACAAGAGGCTAAGACTTTCTATGTTCCAACAGATACAATTTAATGGATTCACAAAATCATCAATCATCAACAAAGTTCTCATAGGCAAAGTAATGTCTGTTAAATTTTAACATATCTCCAAACCTCCCACCCACCACATACACTTCAACCCCATACATGCCCTGATTGTCTGGTAATTTATCACTCTATAAAATAAAAAATATTTTCATTAAAAAAAAAAATCCCTCATCTATTACATAAATACTGAAGACAAAATGATGTCTAAAATTTCTTTTCACATACTCCAGCAAGGTGGGGCAAAGTGTTAAAGGAGTAGGATGCAGATGCAACCAGATTGGACCAATGCTGCTAGTTACTGAAACTAAATATTGAATACATGAATGTTCATTATATAATGCTCCATTTTTTGTATATTTGAAATCTTTCATAACAAAAAATTAGGGGAAAAAGCAAATTTAAAATTTGCCGGATTCTAGATACGTAGCAAATTTTAAGATGGGAATGGAAATCTAACTTTTAAAAAAATATATTGATGGTAGGTTCCTGAGATATTGCAGAATTACTAGTGAACAATTTGAAATCACAGGACAAAGGTTCTTCCTTCTTGTCACAGCACTGCACATAAAACTGTATTTATTTATTTTTTTAAAGTGGTATGGTAAGATACAGCTCAAGAAATCATAAAAATAGAGAAGTGAGGAAATCATAAAATATTTATTTAAGATTGGAGAGAAGAGAGAATAACTAATCTAACGGACTAGGGAGGCAATTATTCCCTTTGCACAAAGTTTCAAAGCAAATAAAAAACAAAGGTTCGAAGACAGCATAGTCGCAAATGGAGAAAAGGAAGAAACACAAATAAATGGTTATATAGAGATGTAGCTCTGAAAAATGATATTAATAAAAGTTAAAGCTTAATAAGTTTTATGGTTCTCTTTACTAGGAATACTTTAGAGAATAATAACTCAGTGTAGAAGTACTATCTAATAGGCCTATACAGTTTAGTTTTACAAGTCATTAAAATATTCAAACACATTTGTATAAACCAAGTACAACCTAGGGGTCTAGCTTGATTCAACAGCAAATTGTAGGATACATTTAGAATAGTTCGGAGAGCTTTGAAAAAATAGTATTCTGATGTAATAACCTCGGGAAGGTAAGTCAGAAGAAAAGATGGGGTAAAGTGTTAAGGCCTTCATACTTTAAGACCAATAAGAAAGGAACACACTGGTAATGAGTGTTATGTATGAGCTAAGGAAATCTAGAGTTGTTAAATACAGGAAAAACTAAGAGAAAATTGAGAAGTAAGAAGTCATTATGCCAACAGGAAGACAAAAGCAGTTCAGCCCCAAAAAATGTTCTCAAAAGAGTCTAGATTCCAAAGCACCCTCAACAAAATGAAGTTGTGAGGCATAAGTATACAGAAAGCATAAGTTAGTTAGGAAGCCAAGAAAAGAAAGTCAAGGGCTGCCTAACTGAATTACAGACCAGAAGATAAAAACCTATTAATTTTTGGAAAGTGAAGGTCTGAGAAACAGAATGTCATGTGGCTATAAGCAAATAGGAAAAACATTTTAGGTAACTGTATGAAAGGTAAAATAGAAAGAAAGAAGAGACCTAGCATCCAAGGGTCTCCAATTCACCCATTAAAAAGTACTAAACTGATCTTCAAGCTTTATCACACAGATTCCTGGGTAAACCCTGGTTAAAATAGGCAAGAGAACCTACTAAAAGGGCGACAGAGCTGTATCCTGCCCTCACCTGGAAACATCTCCTCAGGGCCAAGTAAGAGAAAGACAGGTGAAGTTGTCCAGGCCAAGTTGTTGCTTACATACCCTTCATGGGTTTGGCTGAGAGTAAAACAGATCTCCTGGGATCTGTGACCTCAGGAAGAGGTAGCTCCAGCTGCACCTGTTTGGTCTCTATGTCACTGAGCTGAGAACAGCTCAAAAGAAATAAGGAGAAAGGAGAAAAGGTGAGAAAAAGAGAGTGCCATCTTTTCCCCTATTCTTCTTTCTCCAATTATCCATTTTTTTCTAGTAGTGACAATGGGTACATATCCACTATCTTCGTGATTTCCTAGGTTTCAGGAGAGCTTGGTTTGGGCTAAAAAGAAAACTATTAAACAGAGTTATAATTGTTTTAGCATCATCCTCTACTCAAATGAGCCAACTGATAGACAAGCTTAAGGCAAAGGGCAAAATTAAAAGAACAGACATTGCAGGAATACATAATAAACATTTCATTAACTTAATAAACAATTTACTAGAATCTGAAACATCAAGCATTGAAAAAGAGAACACATTCACTCTAGAGACTATTCAGCCATGAATTTGAGGCTACACAGTATTTTGTCCTTGCTATTTCTATCAACTATAGTTATTTTCACCAATTATAGCAACTTTCTTTGCTCTATGTTGGTACTAAATTCCTTTAGATACTCATTAATGTTCCATAACAATATCTAACCGTCTAGAGCTTAATAAGATGACTTAATGTACTAATCACCCCTATTTAATTTTGATTCAGACAAAACATTTAAGTATCGGTAATATACTATGTCATTAAACTGAAAATGCAAAGATGAATGAATACCAGCTAGCAACGTATTCAGGGTTTTACATCACTGAATCAGTGCCAGAAAAAAATTATTTATCATTATAGTAAAAATAAGAACCCAAGTAGTAAAAAGGACCTGAAAAATAAGGACAGCGCCAGAAAGAGTTCTATGAAACTGAAGTTAATGAAATCAACACATAACAAACTATTATTTTTATTCCACCTGAAGTGTGATTTGAAGGCAGCTTCCTTCATGTGATTAAAGCATGTTTAACATCCAAAGTCGTGAGTAGAAACAACTCGGAGGAATTTATGTTTGGTTATTTAAAAAAAAAAAAAAATTCTTTAGATAATTCACTCTCTCTCATCCTTATTCGCCATGAAAGGGAATTCTCAAGTCCAATTATTCTAAGCAATCAATATTTCTACTACTAATAGCTAATGAGAAAATTTCCAAGAGAAAAATGCTCAGCATATTAATACCAATCTGACACCAGAATATTCAATTAATAGAGAATGTAATTGAGGTTCAGAAAGATGACAATAAATTATAAATTGTTTGGTATATCATACAAAGCAGCTTACCTTGTAGTTTTTTCAATACAGCAACCTCCATTTTGAGAACTTGCTTTGGTTGTTGAGCTGATTCCACCTTCAGGGCAACATTTTCCCTGGTAAGCATGTCCAAGGCATCGTAAATTTCTCCAAAGCCCCCACCCCCAATCTTCCTCAACTGCATAGGAAATAAGAACATACACACACAAAATTACTAGAAGTTTCTAACTGAAAACCAATTAATCTCTGATATTCAATATATAATATATAATTTTACTATTGTTATTTTATGATAAAAGAGCTCAATATTATTACATTAACCATGAACATGCCAAGAAGAAAACAAATGGCTAGAAGTAACATCAGAACCTTTTCCAACAGGTTTGTCCACAAAAAGTAATAAAGTTTTTTCAGCCGCGAATGATTTTAAAATGTGGTCTATAGTCAGTTTCAGAACTGTCACAAAAAACACAGTATCTGAAAGCTTCACTTCTCACAAACACCCCTTAACAACCAGATTTACTGTTTTAATTCTAAGGCGATCATTTGAAGACTTTTTAAACCATGAAATCTTTTTGCCATGAAATCTTATCTGGAAACTGGTTGAGATGTGTATGTGGGGAGATTGGAGATGGGAGTAGGGCAGCCAGAGCCCAGCCCTCCCTGCACCATTTACTCTCCTCTTAGAGGCACCAACCAAGCTCCAAAAAGCAGGTGGATAGCTCTCCTGTTCTAAACTATCCCAGAGTTCATCACATATCAATATGCTCAAATAAGAGTGAACTCTAATCAAATTAAACACTTTGATCAAACACTTAACATTCTTTCTGATAAAATGTTGTTAACTGGGAAAATATCAGGATCTCTGTCTCAGTATTATAAACAAGTTCTGAAAAGCTAGTGACAACTGGACCTGTAGAACTGTGAGAAACTGGAAGAGGAGGAGGATGGATAATATACTTCAAGCCAGATACAACATGCAATTAGCTTTCTTCTATTTCTTGAAACTAGGTCTTCACCTTACCACATTATCAAACATCTAGGATGTGATATAATGTAGGTAGTCATCATTGTACAGAGTCCTAAATCCTAACCACCCCAGAGGCCTTACTTCAAGTCCTACTTCTTTTTCCACTGGGTCAATACAGATTACCATAGGATGATTTCTTTATCTTATGAATTTCTATGGGAATTATTTGCTTCATCATTTAATTAATCATTTTACTAGGCTAAATACCTCAGATAGCCCTTGAGTAAATACAATATCCTGCTTTTTAACTCTTATGTTGTTTAACTTTCAGTTGTCAATGTCCTAGCCCCCTTCAGTAAAACTAAGCTTCTTCAAAGATAGGCACACTCCATCTATTTTTTGTTTCCTCCATAACATTTGGCAAAGTGTTAACTATATAACTACTACTAAGCAACTATTCATTGCTTTGTATATACAAGCCATAATCCTTCCTCATTCTAGTTTGGTGATGAGAAGAAATACCATGAGGAACTCCTGTATGATCTTGGAATTAAAAAAAAGTTCCAGAACTTAATTTCAGTTAAATAAATTACTCTTTGTTGAGCCCTGATTGGTACTTACAATTCTTTATATTTTGTTCATTAAACAAATCCTAGTGTAACTTAAAAAACTCATAACTGGTACCATAAGGACATCTTTCTAATTGTGGACTGTGATAAGAGGTGGCTTCATGCTTTACCTCACAAAAGACCTTACTAAATGATGTCCAGGCTGAAGTAAGTGATTTTGTTCCTTGGTCTATTCCTATAATGTCATTTGAACAACAGTAGAGGATTAATTTTTTATTGAGATTGACAAAGCCCTAAGACATCAATGCTTATGAGGTAAAGAGACAGAGGCAGTTTAGTGTAATGGGGGTGATTAAAGAATCAAGGAAAGGTCTGTGGTAGCTGTGTTTTCTAAAGATGGCCCTAACAATACCACTCACCCTTTTTGCTTCTCTTCAGTGTGACTTTGCCACTCCCCATCAAGAGGTAGAGTTCATTTCCCCACCCCCTTAAATCTGTGTGGATCTTGTGACTGCTTTAACCAACAGAATATGCCAAAGTAACATTGTACGAGTTGAGATAATAGCCTTTAACCAGCCTTGTAGCTTCTGTGTCCTGTCTCTCAACAGCCAGCCACCATGGCATCCTGAGAAACCAAAATCCTTGATGAAGTCCTAGAAAATGAACCACTAAGTTGGAGGGTGAGGGAATTAAGTATCTCCAAGGCACCAACAAGCCATGTGGAAATGAATCTTCCAACCCAACCAAGCCTGCTAGTGCCATATGGCTAAGAGACAAACCACCCAGGCAAACTCTTTCCAAATTCCTAATTCACAAAATTGTGAGCAAAATAAATGAGTGTTTTAAGCCTCTAAGTTTTGATGTAGTTTATTACATAACAGTAGATAACCATTCTTAACAATGAGCTAGTGATTTCTCACTAAAAATGTCACCATGCCTTCCAAATTTGGGGAACATGTTCCACATATAAATTAGCTCTAATTATCAGGACAGAGCAACTAAGCCAGACATAGCTTCATTTGCCACTTCCTGATGTGTACTGGAGAACAGCCAACCTTTATCGCAGCACTTAATACAAAGCTCTCACCAAAGCAACACCCATTCCTGACTTACCTAAAAGATTATCAATTGTTGGAATCTCCCCACACCAGTCCATGATAATGGCATGGTCCTTTCCTTATATTTACTCAAGTAAAATTTCAAAGTCTATTGATTTGCCTAATCAGTAAAATACTGTACCACAGAAACAAAACTTTTATTTCTAAATAAATAATTTTCTTTTTACAATATTCTGATAAAATAAGGAAACCATAAAATACCTTTGCTAAACTTGTTAAATGGAAAAAAACTTTGGATAACAAAAGACTAGGTAGCAATAAAATATATTTAAATATATCCAAAAAGAAAATAGCTACTTTAAGAGGAGGAGAGATGGCCAATTCCAAGTCTAGGGAAAGGAAGCCATCAAAGGACTATTAGGATCTGTTAAAAGAAGTCAGCAGGCAACTTGAAGGGTGTCACCTTAGTTAAATGAGACAATTTGAGCATCAATAAGGATAAGTAGTATAAGAGAGTGTGTTTAAATCCATGAATTCTTAATTATATATTTTTTAAATCTCACTGGTCACTTTTGGACAATGCTAGGGAAGAAATTATTATTTTGAAAACTGGTAAATTAAGAAAAAGAATCGAGTATTAATCAAATTACATCTCGGGGTAATCTAATAGTTGATGATGAGAAAGTTTTCTTTACAGATGTACTTCAACTAATAAATGAAAGAATGCTAGAACATCACCAATCTGCAATCCCTAATGAATTAATAGACCTAAACAATGATGATCCATAGTACAACACCACAAAAATGATGGGCAATAAGACATTATGTGTCTCCAACTGAAAGTTCACAATACCCTTTAGAAAAAAGGTGCCTCCACCTCAGATTAGAGCTGAACTCAGATGTAATCAAGACTGACTCTCTCTCTCTCTCTCTCTCTCTCTCTCTCTCTCTCTCTCTCTCCCTCCCCCCCCTCTCTCTCTCTCTCTATATATATATATACACACGCACAAATATATAACAATTTACATAAAATACATGACAGAGAAACATGTTAACACCACATGGAAGCAATCAGAAAAATCCAAACCATGGGAAATTCTACATGCAAATGATCTAGTGTCCCCAGCAAATAAATTGTAAGGAAAAAAGAGATAGATAAAAAGTACCTAGAAATTAAGAAAGGAACTTAAGTTGTGTCAACCAATTACAATACACAGACTTGATATGGATTTGATTCAAACTATTAAAAATAATTTACAAGACAATCAAGGAAATGTGAAAGCTAGAAGCATACTTAATGATATTAAGAAATAATTACTTTTTTAAGTGTGATAATGACATTATGATTATATTTTTAAATGAAGTCTTTATCTTTTAGAGATACTGAAGTACATACAGAAAAAATGCTAAGGGAAAAGATTTGCTTAAAAATATTTTGGGAGAGAAGTTAAAGAGATAAAACAAGATCGATCATAACTTGAGAAATGTTTAAGATGGGGCACGAGTACATCAAGATTCATTATATCAGTATCGTTATCTTTATTTACACTTACAATTTTCCTTAATAAAAAATTAAAAAATAAAAAAGAGCAGTTCATTGTACTATACTTTTTTATTTGTTCTTTTCCTAAGTACACTTTTATTTACCTTACTAGCTATCAGAGGTTAAGAAAATTTACTACTACATGAAGCAAGAAAAAGAATTAAGTATAAACCAAACAATCATATTAAGGAAAAAACTGAAAATAGCTGCTTTAGAAAGCAATATATGTATTATTTCCTGATGAAATGCTATTTTTATCAAGATACCAAAAATCACCCTCCTAAATGTGTTCTCTCTCTAAGATGTATACTCACCACTTTCCATCTTTCTTTGACCAGGATTCCAACACTGAGGATATCCGGCTGCTCTCCTCCTCCACTCATTGCAATTCACTGATATGATAGAATGGCTACACAGGCATCCAGCTCGCAAGGGTGGTTTCCATTTAAGCTAAAACAAAAGAAACAGCAGCAGCATATCAGGGCTAACTAATTAAGACACACATTTCAGTAACAAATAGCTCTAATAATCCTATACATTAAGTAGGTTGCTTTGTTGGAAAAGAGGGGGACCCACAAACTCAGTTCCAAAATATGTTTAGTGCATATTTTTGAGAAGTACTTACCTTTCCATTACAGATATCCAGTGCAATAGCTAGACATAACAAAAACGTTACAACACAGATGTAATTTACAATAGCTGAGATTGCTAGACTAAAGGGAAAGAAAGTATGGTGTCAACAGCAGCTGACCCAGACAGATCACTATCCTAAGTACTACATATTGCTAAAGAAAAAGATATGGTATCTAATTTAAAACAGCTTATAGTTTAATAGGTTATAAGTCAGAGCTTATCACCATCTGAGCTAATAAAATTTTAATGTTACAAAATGCGCTTAAAATGCATAGGAAGTCTACAGCCACGCTACCCTGAACAAGCCTGATCCCCTCTGATCTTGGAAGCTAAGCAGGGTTTGGCCTGGTTAGTACTTGGATGGAAGACTACCTAGGAAGACCAGGTACGATAGGCATAAAAAATAAAAAAATAAGGGATTGTAACCTGACAAGGTCCTTGCAATCTGTGAGGTCAACCAAGGGTTGCCTTGCCAAAAAAAAAAAAAAAAAATGCATAGGAAATAAACATGAGCTACAGAAAAGAGCTGTTGATCAAACTCAATACAATCATATTGTAAGAAGGATATCAATAACATGAACAGCACACCTGTAGAAAATGAAAAGACAGCAGAAAAATATGGCCTAAAGCAGATGAAAACCATGACCTAATATTAAAGGACAAACTAAATAAAAGAAAAAGAAGCCTTAAAACAACATAAGTCATTAGAAAACTCTTAAATGAGAGAGCGCAGCAAAAGGAAGACATAAAAAGAAACCTGAGCAAACTCAGAAAAGGGTCAGAAGTGAAAGAAAAAAATGAAGACTTAACTAGAAGAGACATGAAACAAGACACACCATACAAGTAAGGAAGAAAAGAGAAAATTAAAAAGAAAACTTAAAAGTTAAGTGATAAATAAAAGGTAAATACAAAATACATATTATAAAAGCCCTCCAAAAAGGAAATCAAAGCAAAGAAATAGAGCAAATACTAGCCACTATAATTAAAATATTTTTCTATAAGTATTAAAAAGGCTAAATCTGCATGTTGAAACAATATACCACATACGTATGAAAACAACTCAGCAGCTCAAAATCAAGACACAGTCTAATAAAACTACTGGGTTTTAAATGGGGAAAAAATTCATTGGGCACCTGTGCAGAAAGTCCAAATTATTTATGATACAAAGAAAATCATACTGAAGACAGACATTGGCATAAACACTTTATATTAGTAGACAATGGAATTATATATTTAAATACCCAAAGAAATAAAATGTGAGCCACAGAAGTTCTATTTTTTCAAACTAATCTTCAAGGCTAAAGGAAACAGTTATGAACACAGAATTAAAAGAATATTTTCCCCAGGAAATGCCCCTACCTATTGTGTAGGAATCAAATACATAAAAATCAAGAAATTGTGGTAGAAGATTTGGCATGAGGATTGGCCTGAAAGGGCCTAAAAGCAATGATAACTACAGGAATAAGCACCACGGCCTCTAGACTGTAGATTCTAAGCATCATTTCCCGCTAAAAATTATCAGGGCTCCTTGGAGAAATGGCTTATTCCAGGTCTGGCACAGGAAACTGTGCAAAAAGAAAATATAGGACATCTTGTCAAATGAGAAAGCAAAAATATTAAAATACTACAGGCAAGTCAAAAGGAAATATAGACAACTGAAAGGATTCTCATTTGCCAAAGATGAAACAATTTGAGCATATACACGACTGGTGACTACAATGATTGGAAAACATGAAAATTATAAAGACCTAGAAGTTCACAATGACATTCAAAAAAGAAAAAGAAAAAAGAAAATTCCTCTTTGGTTAATTTTGGAGGTTGCTAGAACATAGCTATTTATTCTGAAAACTGGTAAACAGAAATAATAAAGAATTTTACCTGCTTTTCTGGTATGAACAATAATTCAGAGAAACCAAAGAGATGATAAGTGCAACTTTTTCCCTAGGGAATAATCACAGATAATAAATGCAGAAGAAATGACAGAATTAGAAAAATCACTTAGAATTAGAAATTCTAATCCCTGGTTAAATAATGAATCTAGGCAATGACCATCAATGGCCTCTAATAGCATAAGTTAAAAGACGGATGCAGAACTTTAATATTGAAGGATCAAGCTGAACCCATTGATCAATCTCACTAAAAAGGACAACGAAACATAAGTGCTTCCTGAAATGACACAACAAAATTTTCTCAGTACCATCTATAATGTCTCCTGCAATTCTCCCCGCCACAAGAATCTAAATCTAATCAAGCTTCTAGATTTAATTATCAGTTTACAAAAATAAGGGGAATAGAAGTACATGTTAAATGTCAAGATGAGAATATAAGGAGCTTAAATCCATGATGCTGGATATCGTAAAGGACAATATGACGCAGCTTCTCTAACAAATAAATGGCATAGGAAATAAAAAAGCTACCACTACACATCACAAGAAATTATATATCAATCTAAGGCCATAGCTGGCAAGAAATAGAAAAACATCTTTAAGCCTTGAAAGTAAAAAGCATTGTCAATCCAGAATTCTGTATTCAGAGAGAATATCCTTCACAGATAAGGACATTTGCAGATAAAGGAAAAGTAAGACAATGTGTTGTTAGCAGAGCTGCCATGAAAGAATTACCAAAGAAATTTCTTCTGAGCAAAGGGAATAGAGGGAAACTTAGAATAACAGGAATGAGGAAAGAACAACAGAAATCTATGTAAATATAACATATTAATCTCTTACATTCTTTAAAATATGCTTGACAGTTAAGAGCAAAAATTATAACACTGTCTGAAAGAATTGCAATGTACATAGATATAACTGATAAGATTACCACAAGTAGGTGGGATATTAAAGAGATCTATATAATGGTGATTAAGTTTCTGCATCTACTCAGCATGGTAATATAATAATTCTAGTAGACTGTGAAAAATTAGGTAGGTATACTATTAACCCTAGAGCAACCACTTAAAATAACTGTACAAAAAACATAATGAAAAACAAAAAAACAATAAAGTAGAACACCGAAACATGTTAAGATAATCCAAAAGAAGGCAGAAAAGGAGAAATAAAAGAACGAAAACAGGGGGCATAAATATAAAACAAATAATAAAATGTCTGCCCTAAATCCAAATATATCTGTAATTGCTTTAAATATAAATGGCCTACAAAATTAAAAATAAGAAAATATAGTAAAGAAAAAACTCACTGGTAGAGACAAACATTTAGTAAAATTGGTGGCTCATCCACTTATAAAGCTAGCACGAAGGTTAAAAGACAAAAGTAGTAAAACCATTTATATTTACAATAATTATGGGAGATATACATACACAGAAAGGAAATATAAAATATGATGTCAAAAAATAAAATGTGGGGGTTGGTAGTGAGTAAATATGTAGTACTCTTAAACTGAGTTCAAACTCAACCATCAACATAAACAGACTGCTATAAAAGTAAGTAAATATGAACCTCACTGTAACCATAAACCAAAAACGTGTAATAGACACAAATAAAGAGAAAGGAATACAAGCCTAAAACCAAAGAAAGTCATCAAAGCACAAGGAAAAAGAATGAGAAGAAAAGAATAAAATGGCAGTCAGTATATACCTATCAATAATTACTTTAAATGTAAATGGACTAAATACTCCAATCAAAAGACAAAAGGATAGATAAATAAATTTCAAAAAAAAAAAAAAAAGACCCATCCTTATGCTCCCTACAAGAGACTCACTTCAGACCTAAAGACACAGAGACTGAAAGGAATGTAAAAAGATATTTCGTGTAAATGGAAACAAAAATAAAGCTGGGGTAGCAATACTTATAAGAACAAAAATAAAGCTGGGGTAGCAATACTTATAAGAGACAAAATAGACTTTAAATGGACTGTAACAAGAGACAAAGGACACTATATAATGATAAAGGGGTCATTACAACAAGAGGATATAACATTGTAAATGTCTACAACCCAACACAGAAGAACCTGAATATACAAAGCAAATATTAAGACATAAATGGAAAAATTAACAGTAATACAGCAATACTATTGGACTTTAACAGCCAATTACATCTATGGATAGATCATCCAGACATAAAATCAGCAAGGAAACACTAGCCTTAAACGACAGATTAGATCAGATGGACTTAATACATATTTCAGAACAGTCATCCAAAAAAGAGCAGAATACACATTCTTTTGAAGTGCACAATAGAACATTCTCCAGAATAAATCACGTTAAGTCACAAAACAAATCTCAATAAATTTAAGAAGACTGAAATTATGTCAAGCACCTTTTCTGACCAAAATGTTAGAAAGGAAATAAAAATCAGAATAGAAATAAATGAAATAGAGACTAAAACCATAATAGAAAAGATGAATGAAACTAAGAACTAGTTCCTTGAAAAGATAAACTAAAATGGTAAACTTTTAGCTAGAGAGGACCCAAATAAATAAATCAGAAATGAAAGAGAAGTTACAAATGACGACACAAAAATACAAAAGATCATAAGAGAATACTATGAACAATTATACCTCAACAAACTGGACTAGAAGAAATGGATAAATTCCTAGAAATATACCATCTTCGAAGATTGAATCACAAAGAAACAGAAAATACGAACAGACCAATTACTAGTAACAAAAGTGAACTGGTAATCAAGAAACTCCCAACATACAAAAGTTCAGGACCAGATGGTATCCCAGATGAATTCTACCAAATAATTAAAAAAGAATTAATGTGCATCCTTCTCAGATTATTTCCAAAAATTAAAGGGGAAGGAATGCTTCCAAACTCATTCTATGAAACTAGCATTACCCTGATACCAAAACCAAATGAA